TAGAACTAAATAATAAATAATTACTAACTGATAAAACTGCTGTGGATGGCAGGTGGTTTTAACAGATGGCTTGACCTGCAGGTTTAGCCATCTGTCAGAACTAGTTCTGGGCTTTGCTCCCACCTTTGCCACAGGTTTAGCTGTCTCTTAGCTGAGATTGTGCTGCTCACTTTGTCTGGGCAAGTCAACTGCTAACTTGCTGAAACAAAATGGGGAACAAGGCAGGAGTGCATTCTGACAGTTCCCCAGCTTTATATGTGCAGCCTTGTTCCTGTTTCCTGAATCCCTGAAAATGTGCTCAAAACCTGAAGTGAGGTCGGTTCTTTTTGTAACAAATGACTCTTTCCAAATAATTTGCTACTAAAAATAGTGCCAAATGTGGAAGGGCTTCTGGCAGCTGTGCTAACATTTTGTGATCCTAGAGAAAGGGTCTTCCTTCCCACTTGGCCCTATTTCCCCTCTTCATATAGTATGCTGTTGTTACCACCATCTGCCAGTAGCAATTTTAGCAAATTTGCTTTTAAAATTGTGGAAGGCCCTTTAAGCTCTGCTCTGTAGCTGCCTGGATGATGAAGTATGATTTGTGGCTCTGCTCCATTAGGAAAAAGTGCATCTCCAGGCGAAGCAGATGATGAGCCTAATGACCCTGCTGCAATGTAAGAAGTCTAAGTTTATCTACTCAGCATTCAATTCACACATCTCCCTTTGCAGTTCACTCTTGACTGTTCACTGTCAGGTCCCCCGAGGGATTGCTTCATTTGCTGACAGAAGTAGAACCAGCCAGGAGCATCTGGAGACATCCAGTTTCTACCTGGCCACAAGTTTGGTGCTGCACTGAACCAATGTTCTGTTCCTGCCCTTATGAGTTGTGTGCTAAGAATTTCCATTTGGTGTTGGTATTGAGCAAAGACACCCCAGCAGTTTTGAAGGCAACCCTCCTTCACTTGGCAAAAGTCTAGCTCAAGCAAGGTGGTGACATAGGAGTAGAAGTCTCAGGAATAGGACAGCTGTCAGGGCTGCAGCAGTTCCGTCCTCCAGTGTCCCTCTCTGGGTCCATCTTCCAGTGCTCACAGCATCTCCATAGCTGTTGCCTTCAGACAGGAGAATGGTCCATGTGCCTTCCCTGTCTGCTCCAAATTTGCATTGTGCTGCTTCCCACCAAGGGATCACTTGCAGAGGCAGTGATCTGCTCCCTTCCTAGAACCTGGAGGAAGTGCTGCTGTTAGAACTTGCTCTGAGTTTTACTGCCTGCTTTACTTGGACCAGCTGACTTGCCCAGGCAAATGCAAGCAAATATGTTAGCATTCCAGCTTTGTGTGCGCAACACCCCCCCCACACACACATTTTTCAACCCCATCAAAGTTGCTTCCATAACCCCCCCAGGTGGTGGTGGGGGAGGTTCAGAACCTCTCTGTTAAGGGACAAAGGTTATAGAAGAAGGCAACAAGCATCTAGAACACTTGTTGGGTTGATTCTTATATTAAACAAAAATATTGCCCCAAATAAATACATTTGGGGAGCTTAGTAGAAATGGCATGTTTAGAGATGTAGAAAATGTAATCTAAGAATTTAAATAAAAACTTATTTCATGAGCTGAGGATGGATATACATGTGGGAAGGGGCTCATTTTACCAATTTGAATTGGGACTCCAGGATGATGGTTGAGTCTTGTGGCTAACAATAACAGCAAATCTTATTTGTTTATCCAGTAATAACTGATTTTCTGACATGTTAATGACTTGGTACTTGGTAATAATTTTAAATCACTTCACATCTTAGGAGAGAAGGAATGTTCCTGTGTGAATGCATATTGCAGGGACACCTGATTATTTGGAAGAGTGTTGTTGTTCAGTGGCTTACCCTACCCACAAGGGCATCTTCATTTCAGTGTGCTTTGTATTTATTGTGTCAAAGACATGAATTCCTTCTTTCTCAGGATGAGAGCAGTTACTGGAGTGAATTGGCACATGCTAAGGAATGTCTTGGGGGAGGGGAAATGTCAAAAAATCTCTCCAAAGGAAAAGCTTTTAAATCACCTCCTCATGCAGAAATGCAAAATCAAATTTAATTGCTCTCTTCCTGTCCTGTTCAGACAAGCAGACTCCTTTTGGTACATAGTAAAAGAGAGTCATCATGGTAAGAGCTGGGATTTGTTTAGCTCTAGTAATCAGAAAAAATAGTAATATGCATGATGAAAGAACAAAAAGTACAGCTACATTCTGGCATGGGCATGTGTGCTATCCACCAAATCAGGTTTAAAGATGAAATGTCACATTCTTTGGTAACTGTATGGAGATTTCTGGGTTCCAAATAGTGACAGTGACCAAACCAAGGATTTTAATACTAGAATTGATTCCTACTGTGGCTTGCCTTAGCTTTGGTTAAAATTAGAATTTGTCTTTTAATTTGATCACTTGTGTCCCCTCCCCTCCCCTGACTCTTGGGCAATTAGGCAGATAGAAATTGCTAACAAACTTCCCTTCCACATGTATTTTGCCCTAGGAAAGGACTTGGCCTACTCTGTCCATCACTTCAAGAATTTCCCCACTCTCTTTCAAGCAATAGAAGCCATTGTTGCTGCGTTGATTTCAATATTGTTGTTGTAAGAAGCAGTTCTGTGTGAGATGCAGTGTTTTCTTCTAGCTTTGATAACAGGAAGTAAATAAATCTTAAAATAGAGCATTAGAACACTTCAGTATGCTCGTAGTTTTTACAGAACCCTCTCCCCCCAAATGTTGCTTTTGGTGATGCTTGTCTGAGAGAAATCAGTTGTACAGAAAGTGAAATCTGTGCAAATAATTTTTGCTTAAAGTTTTTAGGAAGGGTTGTATTTCTGAAAACAACACTATGGCTTCTGCTTAGGTACATATAACAAGTAACTGAATTATGTATATGTGTATGCATTTGAACCTATGATAGAAACATACTGTACATAACATTCATTTTTTCAGCAGTTTATTTTATATGTATCAAAATCATGTTTGCTAGGAAAGAGCTGAAAGTAATATTCATGTTCCCATTTCCCAAGTGAAAGCTGGATCACTGTCAGAACTTAGCCTGCCAAGGGACCATAACAATTACCGTCACCCCTGTTCTGGAAGCATATTTACCTTTTTTTTGTCCACTTGCCAGCCACATTTGCCAGCGCTCCAACATTATCTAATCCCACTCATAGTCTGATTGTTATCTGCTACCTTTATTCTCCCTCCCGCTGGCTTACCTCCATCTTCCCTAGCTAAAGGAAGTGAGGGAACAGCAGGGTAGATGAGGTAAGACTAGCATCACCAGGGCCTCCTTACCCTCCACAGCTGTTATGGCATAAAAGAGTGGCCATTTTGGGAAAGATGGGCAAGGATGGGATGCAACAGTGATGTCTCTCAGCAAGCCCTAACAAACTTGACTGGTGGGGGGGGGGGCTGAACCTCTCACTGTGAAGGAGGGTAGAACACCCTCCATGCCTGGTGACTGAAACAAAGGTCCACTTTTAGTGCAGTCTTCACCATCCATGCTTTAACTTTGGCATCCATAGCCAGTGTGGGGCCAAGTGAAGAAGTTGTTGCATTCTCCATAGAACTCTCCTGCTAGGGCTCTCCCTTGCCTGTTATTTGTGAGCTGTGCCCAGATGGATGGCCGTGGGGCAGCACATGCCTCTTTCTTTCCTTCTGCTAGGTTACCTCCTCTGGACATCCTAAAGGGGATGGTTCCAGTTTCTGCCCCAGGCAGGCTACTTTCCTATCATGACCTATCCTTTGAGTAGGTGAAGTTGAACCAGGGTCCCTATGAGACTTACGGTTGTGCAAGGATTTTACGCCAGTCTCTCATTGCTGCCATGTTGACAGAAGGTGAGCAGAGCCTAGGCCAGCTGAAAGGTTCTTAGTTCTGGAGACAGAGGTTCTATGGGCAGATTGCCCTGTGCCAGAGTGAGCTCTGCATTGTCTCTGCCAACTGAATAGGTCTGCCTTTTCCTTTCTTCTAACACAGCCGAGGGGAGGTGCATACCTGAGTGAAGAAGGCCCTTCTGTGGTTAGAGGCTTCTCGCTGCACAAAATACATTGCCGGTGCGCCTGTGTACCTCAGGCTTTCAGAGGTGGAGAGGTGGAGAGCCTTGCCTGGGTCAGTTTGGCACTCTGTGTCCATAGTATGCTGTTTAAGGAGTATAATGGCTTGCTCATAACCTGGGGAGAATTAATGGGTGTGGGGGGAGCTCAAGTGATTAAAATTGGCCAGTAGGTTTTCTTTCAGGTGGACTAACATCCATGCTTGAGCATTAAGCTGCCTAGGCTCTTGGGAAAAAGGATCTTGGGAAAAATATTAGCCAGAAACTGTGTATGGACAAGAGTTTTCTGGCCTCCACTTTTACCCTATCTGGCTCTAGTTGCAGACCAGTGTTAGAGCAGGATATCTGGAATTCTGCTTTTAAGAATTTGGACTAGAGAAGCCTAGGGGGGCATCTGATACAAATGAGTATGATTCCAATTACCATATTCATCTTAATTACTTCAGTCCGCACAAGTATGTGGGCTACATTACTTGATGTGAGGGTGGGAGAGCCGTAAAATTCCTCAAATTTTTAGAACAGTTACTTGAAAAACAAACATCATACAACTTTGAAACTGTCAGACATGCCTGAAGTGGACAATTTTGAACCCAGAAAATGTTTCAGTTCACATCTTTGCATAAACTGTGACTCATTTGCATTTAGCTTAGCCCTATGTGTTGAACCTACTTTATGTGCAAAACAGGCTGTTACAGCTTATTCAGAAAATCATGGTTTTTACTCTCCTGACTTAGTATAATGTGTTGCTTCAGACAAAGCACTTTAGACCAAACAAAATGTCTTTACATTGTGAGGGGGAAAATGGCTTATTGTTTAAAGCACTATATCTTGTTAAAGATTGCAAAGGACATACATGATGAATGGAAGTTTGCAACATAGACTCACAACAGTTGAGAATGTGTAAGTGTATATGGCATTAAACTTTTTTTTTCTTTTTCACCAGGAAATATCAGAATGGATCTAAAGTCCGCCTAAAACTTATTGACCTTGAACTCTCCTCCAGATTCTTGGGAGCAACAAAAGATACAACCTTACTGGAAGCTGATGCCGTACTTTTGGGACTTATGGAAGGAAAAGAAAGTAGATATAAATAGTAAATGCTTGTTGTTGTTGTTTTTTAAAAAATCTCTATTCTCTTGTAGCTAAATACTTAGTCATTTGTGCAGAATATTCCATTTTAATTAAATGTTGAAATTATTCACCATTATTTTCTGATTAAAATAAATCTAAATGTAAAGATAATCTTTTCTTTGTAGGTCATTTATTATTGCATAATAAAATTTATTCTGTTCTTTCAATTTTATATTCATACTAAAAATGAGAAATTTGATAGATTTTCCAGATTTGATTATGAGACAAATAATTACATCAAATTTTGGCAGGTGAAATATGACAGATGACCATGGTCATCATTTATTTTAATCATGGTTTTCCAACCCTCAGGTGAGAGTAAGTCTTACAGTTGAGCAAAATCATGCTGACTTTTTGGCTAAATCCTGATTCATAATCATTCTTTTTTTAGTTGCCCTTGCTTTTTATCTCGGTTGGTTGGTTAGCAGATTGGAATATGGAAATCACAGATAAGCCTCATTAAACCTCAGGTGCAAACAATAAGCCATCAATAAAATATGTTGAGCTGTAGTTCCAACTCTAAAACAATGTATGATTTATTCATAGACCACATTCCCCCCAAATCCCATTTGTTAGAGGTTCTTAAAATTGTGACCCCTATAATGATAAAATGAATTTGTCCAATGCACCCTCCCATATTTAAGACTACTGTAGTGATTTCATTGTGATTAGGATTAGGCAGAAATGGATCACTTTTAAGAATTAAATATATTTAAATATCAAATAAAACATTAACAAAACGTTACAGCTTTATAAAAGAAAAGAAAAGAAAATTTGAGACCTGTTTTTTTAATGGATGGATGAGTTTGCTTATTTTTGTATAATTCCTGAAATAAGGGTTTCATTTTAAAAACAAGTATTCTCACTCCAACAAAGTCAGGGAGAGAAGAAAGAGTATTTCCTTGTCTTAAATCAGCTTCTCTTAAAATGCTGCAGCTTGCAAAGTACTGGCAGGGTATTGAATTGATTTTGGCACTTAGTGCAGTCCCCAGAGAGATCAGTAGCAGCTTAACTTTGTTCCCTTCGCCACCCTTGGTTCCCCTGTGCTCTTAATGCTTCAGCAGAGTGAATGTCAGGTCAGAAGAGCAGAGCTGCAGGCATGACTAATTCTTTGAAAGGTGGGTATTTGTGCATGCCTGGTAAGCAGTACACTGTTAGGCCCAGCCCAAGAACAACAACGAGGCATAGTTCCTTTATTAGCTTGCAGCTAATAGACAGAATCTCGCCAGACTAAACCTATGGTAAAGCAACTAGTAGATATACCCTGTGAGACACTAGGGAGGGGCTAGTCTCAGCTTCTTCAGCTTCTCACGGTCCTGCTGCAGGCTGAGGAAGTGCTTGCCCTGTAACCTCTCCAGGAATACTCTTCCTCCCTCCTGATAACCTTAATCCTCCTTTCCAGTATCCCCCTCACACAGGCCTTCCATTACAACACTCAGGCTTCATATAGAACACAAATTTCCAATTGCTTTGCATTGAGCATTTTTTGGTATCAAACTGGTAAGCCATCTTGGAAGGGACTTGCAGGGAAGGCACTGTCTGGCAATTCACCATCTATTTCTCATGATAGGGCTATTATGATAGCCTCAAAGATCTGGAACTGTAAGTACATTATATACTGCAGTGTCCAGAGTGATACCTGAGAATCTAGTGACTACCTGTTGAAGGTGAAGGTACACATTACATTATTTACAATGTCAAAGAATGTGTTTAAACTGGCCACCTCTGTTTTGAAAGAAACAACAATAGATCTCCAAACTAGAATATCCTTCCTAAGGCCTATTGCAAGTAACCTTGTAAAAATCATTTTTTCATCCTAAAGAGATATAATAATGTTCAGGTGATAGAGAATTTTCAACAGGAAACTGTTGTAGATAATTGGCAATATGTTCTAGATCACAAATGATTAGCTGATTTTCTTTCAGGATTAAAGAGTTTAAGCATTCTTTTTGAGAAAAGTGAATAATGTTTCAGTAAGATACATGCTGAACTGTGTACTTTATATGTTTGATTTGGAGGATCAAACTACTGAAAGATCCTACCCTGAAAACTTCATTTTAGCATTTCTGTATGGGGGGAGAGACTCCTAATTTAAATGATCTGATCTTTATGTAAGACCAAACAGTTATCAATGTGTGTGTGTGTTTACGTATATGTATATGTGTATAAAATTCCTTTCTCACCCCTATGGGTGGTATGTGTCTTCCTCAATCTTGGGTCCTCTACCAGAAGCCTGGGAGTTTGAGGGTTCTGCGCAGTATCTTAGCTGTTCCTAGCACTGAGCTTTTCTGGACAGAGAGCTCTGATGTTGTTCCTGGGAACTGTGGGAGCCACTCTCCTAGCTTAGGAGTCACAGCCCCAAGTGCTCCTACCACCACTGGGACCTCTTTGGCCTTTACTTTCCACATCCTCTCTAGTTCCTCCTTCAGGCCTTGGTACTCCTCCAGCTTCTCATGCTCCTTTTTCCTGATGTTGCTGTCACTTGGGACTGCTACATCTATCACTACCGCTGTCTTCTGGTCCTTGTCTACTACCATGATGTCTGGTTGATTGGCCAGTACCTGCCTGTCCATCTGGATCTGGAAGTCCCATAGGATCTTAGCCCTGTTATTCTCCATAACCTTCTGTGAAATCTCCCATCTGGACTTGGGAGGGTCTAGCCCATACACTGTGCAGATGTTCCTGTACACAGTGCTGGCTACTTGATTATGCCGTTCAGTATATGCCGTTCCTGCCTGCATCTTACACCCTGCCACTATGTGTTGGACTGTTTCTGAGGTCTCTTTGCACAATCTGCACCTTGGGTCCTGTCTAGTGTGGTAGACCCCTGCTTCTATGGATCTGGTGCTTAGTGCCTGTTCTTCTGCTCCTATGACCAGTGCCTCAGTGCTGTCTTTTAGTCCAGCCT